ATCTCCCCCAAGCCACTCACACTCCCTCCAAACCATTCCACAGTGAGCATGCAGTTCTCTTTCTAAAGCACAAAACCAATTCGATTCTCCCTTAAATCTTTCATTATCTAAATGAAAGATTTAGGAGCCCTCTGTGTCTGGACCTACCTGCCTTCCTCCCCACCACCTTTTCTCTGATGAGCTTTTCCTCACTTGCTTTCTCCTCCCCTGGCCTGTCTCATTCGTCGGCGAGTTCCTTGAGTACAGGAACTAGATTGTCATCATCTCTGCAACCTTGGGTCAGAACACTGGTACTGCCTCAGGACTGGCACACAGTTACAACGAAACCATGCTCACCGCCGTTGAGCCAACTCTGACTCATAGCAACCCTGTCGGACTGGGCGAAACTGCCCCTGTGGGTTTCCAAGCCTATAAGGAGTAGAAAGCCTCATGCTTCTCCTACCAAGTAGCTGGGGGTTTTGAACTGCTGACCTTGAGGTTAGCAGCCCAACAGATATGCCACTACTATACCAGGGTTTCCTTGGCACAGAGTAGGCACTCAATAAATATTGAAGAAATAGATTCGGTTTAAGGAAATCATTTGACTGAAGGAAAAAGTAGATGAAGGAATCTGCTTACTGAAGAAACGCTCATAAGAACGAAACAAATACAAGAGTGAAATGTTCAACAATAGACGTATGAGACATCCACTTAGTGGAATATGATGCCGTGTTCAAAATAATAATTATGATGACTATAAGCAACTTGGAAAGTGTTTATCTCATAATAAAGACAGAGCACACAATGGTCTGTATGCTAGCACTGGAATTATGCAAAAGTATGCATGCACACAAACCAACCAGAATGAGAACAGGAACAAGAACAAATGAATACAGATGATGTGTTTAGGGTATTTGGGGAAGTGCTGGTTGTGATTTTCTTAACTTTTTCCAAATTCTCTTTATTTTTGTTAGAATGTCATTTGTGCATAAATGTACAATGAAAGGGAGCACACACAGACAGAAGGTTACTTGAGTTCCTCCAGTCCCCTGAGAATCTGCAGTATAAGAACACACCTAGGAGGAGGTGGTGCAGCGTGTGTTAGGTTGGCAGGGTTTTATCCTGCTCCCCTCTAGAGATTTCAGGTTGGGCTGCTAACCACAAAGCCAGCTGTTCAAAACCACCAGTTGCCCTATGGGAGAAGAATGAGGCTGTCTGCTCCTATAAAGCCTCACAGTCTCAGAAACCCACAGGGGCAAGTCTACCCTGTCCTTTGAGGGTCGCAGTGAGTCCATGCCGACTCAATGAAAAAGGACTGGAAGTGGGGTGGGGCGGGGCGAGCGGAGTTTCAAAGCAGAGGAATAACATGATCAGATTTTTGTTTTCGTTAGATAACTAGATGATTTCTAATGCCCTTTCTCTTCCCGGCGATTCTATCCTAAGTGCCAAATGAGCTGTACAGAAAGCGAGGAGCCAGGAGCCAAGGTTTAATGCGGGACCTAAAGCAGCATCTCCATCTCCTACTTCCCAACTCCTCAGCAGTGCACAACGGAGCAAGAGAGAAATGACATCTGTTGATGCTTCCTAACGCACAGCACAGGTAGGTTCGTTGCCTCGAGGGAACTCGGGAAAAAATTACTAAAATATGGGTGGGACTTAAAGTAACCCCTCTTTGCACTTTCCAGGAAAGCAGGGACCTTGCTTAATTCATCTTTGTCTTTCGAGTGGGCATGGACGTGATGGCAGTGAGTTTTCTGAGTGAGCTCCCAATAGACTCATGAGTCATCCTTAATAGACATGAGGCACAAAAGAGTTTTCAGCAACTTCTTGATGAGGGAGGGAAGAAGGGAGGAAATCGCCCTTAGGACACTTCTTTTGGGTGCGTTTTCCTTTCGGAATTTCTGACCTCCCACCAGTAGATGGCAAGGTAGAAAGCTTAGCGTCCCGGGCCCTGGCGGTGCTGGGCGGGGCGTTGGAGGCCTTGGAGCGCCCACAGCAGGGCCCTGTTTTCTGGAGACACCGGAAAGAGCCGGGCCTCTTTCTGGACTCGGCGCCGCCATGGTAAGGCCCTGACGCGGTGCGCTCTTGGGTCGCATCGGCTGCCATCCTCCCCGGATTGACGTTTTCCCCGGCCGCGACCCCATCGCCGAGGGGGGCCAGGCGGAGGCGAAGGGAGCGCGCTCCCCGGGGCTGGCCTCGGTGGACCCCTGGGCTCAGACCGAAGCCGGGGCGCTGGTGCGCACGGGCGCTTCGACTGATGCCACTGGAGGCCGGGCCCGGGTCCGAAGTCCCGGCCCACCCGCGGCGCGTCCCGGAGCCCGCTGGCCCGGGAGAGGGGGCTTCACCCTGCCTTGAGCCAAGGCGCCTGTTGGCTTGGGAGCGTCGCGCCGAGGCGGGCGGCCCGGCTTACCTGAACGCTGGGTGCGCCTGGCCGAAGGGGGTTTTGGTGACAGTCTTTGGACTTGGCCCGGCGTAACTTGAGCCCTAGTGGTGCTGTGCTCACGCCGCCGGGCTGCTAGCCTCAAGGGTCCCCAGTTCAAAGCCAGGGGCCACTCCGCGGGAGAAAGGCGCGGCTTTCTGCGCGGTCCACCGTGGAGGACACTCGGGCAGCTCTACCTGCCGCACGGGGTCCCACTGGAGTCGGCGTCGACTCCATGGCCGTGAACTTGTTTGCTTTTTTTGTATGCATTAAGCTGTCTTCCGACTTCTGTCATAAAGGGCACCTTGTTGGCACGTGGTCGTGCCGAGGTCAGTTGAATGTCCCACCAGGCGGCTCCGACTCCGATGATTACATTGTGAAAACTTTATTCCTTTACTGACACATGGAAGCTCTGGGCTCTGGCTTGTCCGCTCTGGCCATGTGCCGGGCCTCGCACATGGCTGGCATGGTGTACTAGAAAGAGCATAAGCGACAAAACTAAAGTACCCCAGCTTCATTTTTAAGCAGTAATATGGGGATAGATATTTAGCACTGAAAGGTTATCAATAGACTTTTGAAAGATAAAAGGCTTCGGGGAGCCTATGAAATTTTTAGGTACTGTGTGACCATTTGTTTCTCGTTTGGGTTTGTTGTGTAACCAGAGCTTTGCATTTTGCCCCAAAGGAAATAGACACCGTGCTTTTCACAAGTCCTGTCGTAGGCTTTGTGAGTGGTTGGGAAACTCGGTCACTTTAGACCGTTGCAATCTAAAACGCTAACACTCTCCCTCAGGCTCGTGGTCCCAAGAAGCATCTGAAGCGCGTGGCCGCTCCAAAGCACTGGATGCTGGACAAACTCACTGGCGTGTTCGTAAGTGCCACCTCGTACACGGTCTGCGCTGTTTCCTGTGTTAAGTGTATCCCGAAGCTTTGTCTCCGTTGATGCTTCTTTACTGCTTGCTACCCGAAATGCCTCTCTGAAGTCATTCGAGGGCTAGCAGAAGGAAGAATATCTGCAGTGTTGCTATGCCTCATTCTGTGCATGCGCTCGAAATTCCCATGCTAATGAATCGGGCCCCTGAAGGGGAAAATGTTGTAAAGACTGAAGGCCTGGAATCCTTCATTTTCATTTTACAGGCTCCTCGTCCATCCACGGGTCCCCACAAACTGAGAGAATGTCTCCCCCTGATCATTTTTTTAAGAAATAGACTTAAGTATGCTCTGACAGGAGATGAAGTTAAAAAAATTTGCATGCAGCGGTTCATTAAGATTGATGGCAAGGTGCGAACTGATATAACCTACCCTGCTGGCTTTATGGGTAAGTAGGCATTTGGTGGTGCTGCCATTTGAGTGTTTTTATCTCTTCCTTCAAGATGGCAATTGTTTTGAATTGCGGACTTTTTTGCTTTCCTGGATGGTTTGTCTAGAAATTTGAAGACTTGCCTGGAAGCTTGTACAAAATGGAGTGTTAGAAAAGGTTTGGGCTCCATTCACTCATGCAGTTAGGGTTGGTGGAATAGGAATTTGGGTACTCCCTGAAAGTTTGAAAGGGTATTTAGTTTGGATCTCCCTCACAGAAGGGCTATAAGAAAGGGATGATTCAACCAAGATGCAATATACCATGAATGAATTACATGTGATTCTTCTGGTTCCTGAATGCTTCTTCTCACCCCCACCCCCACTACCATGACTCAGTTCTACCTTACAAATCTGGCCAGACCTGAAGAACACACATTGGTACAGAGAAGAGCTCTCACACACATGGAATTCAGGACAGATTAACAGACACACACACGGGGATGAATAACAAATGTGGGTGAAGGCAGACAACGGACTGTGAAAGATATGAAATAATAGCAATATATAATTGCTCGAGGAATCAGGGTGGGGGAGGGGGGAAGGAGACCTTATACCAAGGGCTCAAGGAGAAAGGAAATGTTCTGGAAATGATGGCAACATATGAACAAATGTGCTCAATACAATTGATGTATGAATGTTGCAAGAATCCCCAATAAAATGATTTTTTTATTAAAAAAAAGAAAGGGTATTTAGTGTTGGCAAAAAATGCGGAGCTTTTCAAGAAACATGCTGGAGATGCTTTTTATGAGAAGCCAATCCAATAACTGAATATCGTCTTGATCATAGCACAAACTTTTGATTTTGTGTTCTTGTGACGGGACTTGCCACTTCCCCTATGTTTTTATAGTAGTATGTCAGCAAATAATGAATCCGTTCTCAAAAGCAAATTTCAATTCACTTAAATTTTAAGTGGAATAAAAGTAGGGTTTTGAAACATTAACGTTTAGTTAGGTCTCATTCTAAGGACTCCTTGTTGATGTCTGAAATAACAAACAGATGGGGTTTGTGGGGTTTATTTTGCTCAGTACAGAGTAGTAGAGCCCTAGTAAGTATAGTTTCTGTTTGAAATCAGATGTCATCAGCATTGACAAGACCGGAGAGAATTTCCGCCTGATCTATGACACCAAGGGTCGCTTTGCTGTTCATCGCATTACACCTGAGGAGGCAAAGGTGCGTGTAAAGCAGTCTGGATCTTTACTCAGTAAGGATTGCCTGAATTAAGTACAGGTTGCTCCGTTGCAGTCAGGTAAGTGGAGCCTGGTGTGTCTGGACATACCCAGTTACCAGGTAAAATTAGTATTCACCACACATGTATGACATGCATTATCCCATGTCATAAAAAGTGATAACTAATAGCTGCATAGCAGACCATTGCTGGATATCTAATAATTAACCTGAGGTTAGTTAGCTTCCTTAACAATATTTTTCTGTTATGGTCGGGGTGAATTCCAATTGAATAGTGACTTATTTCAGATGTTGTGTGCCATGAAGTTGATTCCAGTTCATAATGAGGCTATGGGGCCAGAAAACCAAGTCCAATCCACTGTGGCTTCTGTCTTACTTCCATTTGCAGGTCTAGCTTTGCTGAAGGAGGGGAAGGTATTAACAGAGGACATTTTGATCTTCTAGGCAGTGGTTCTCAACCTTCCTAATGCCGCGACCCTTTAATACAGTTCCTTGTTTTGTGGTGACCCCCCCCAGCCATAAAATTATTTTCATTGTCACTTCGTAACTGTAATGTTGTTCTTGTTGTGAAGCGGGCAGCCCCTGTGAAAGGGCCGTTTCACGCCACGCCCCGTCCCGCCCCCCCCCAAAGGTGCCGTGACCCACAGGTTGAGAACCACTGCTCTAGGTATTCACTGAGGTAACAAAAAAGATTGCAGTCTTTGATTGTTGTTTTTACACCAAATTACAGGGCTTGAATGGTTAGCTCTAAATGAAGGTTCATCCAACTGGATGATTTTGCTCCTGATTTCATTGAACTTTGTTCCCAGGCTGGTAAATTTGTTACCAATGGCATCTTGAGGATTTGGTGTGTGAGTAGAAGGAGCCCCTCGAGATTGGGCTGTGTCGGATAAAGAATTTAGGGAGGTTATAGAGAAGGAAAAGGAATGTGGTTTGTATTAGAAGACCCTGGTGGTAGAATTAGACCAACTCTGAATTTGAGAGGTCCTTGACAGAGGGGAGTTGTACTTGAGCTTCAGCATGGAGATTATAGATTTGGAAGCGGTGAAGACTAGCCCAGCAAAGGAGAGCAGTAGTGACTTGTGTTGGAACTTTCCGTCTACTCTGGGACATAGCACACGTGAATGAGACTAATTGGCCAATTCTTATCTGCTTCTAGTACAAGCTGTGCAAAGTAAGAAAGATCTTTGTGGGCACAAAAGGAATCCCTCACCTGGTGACTCATGATGCTCGAACCATCCGCTATCCTGATCCCCTCATCAAGGTGAATGACACCATTCAGATTGATTTGGAGACTGGAAAGATTACTGATTTCATCAAGTTTGACACTGGTAAGCAGCCACTGAAGGTCTCGATGCAGTCTTTGTATCCTGCCATTTTGAAGTCTTGGTATAAAGGCTGTTTGAAAACATTCCAGTTGATTCCAAGGTAGGCCTGGTTAAGAAACAAACCTAGATGGGTTTTTTTGTTGTTGTAGCTAGGGACTGGGAGGTGGGGCAATTACATAAATGGAGAGTATATAGTTTAGTGCCTCGATGTGTGGTAATTCTAGTCTGGGTGGCAGAGAAGAGGTCAGTATTAGCCTGCCCTAAGCATCTCAAAGAAACCCTAGTGGGTTATGCATTGGGCTGTAAACCACAAGGTCAGCAGTTCAAACAAAATTGCTGACCGCTCTGCTTGAGTTTCTGAAAGCTCCATTATCCGTGTGAATGGATTGAGATCTAGGCAGGGAAGCCCGACCACAGTTAGGCCTCCTGATTGTGATATAGAACTAACTGCCTTGGGTGGTGGGGGGAGGTTAGTAGTCTTAAGCAAAATAAAGCAAAAATTTTATAAAGGTATTCAGCTGTGGGATGGGGAGGAGTTTGCATTTGCTAGATGGTGGGGGGGAGACATCTGGAGATCATCCATATGAATCACGTATAATGAAAAAGAGTAGCCTTCGGTTCTATTGAAGATGCTTATATTAACCATTGGATGATTATGCTTGGAACAGGTGATACTGATTTCTTATTGCCTAGGTAACGTTTGTATGGTGACCGGAGGTGCTAACCTGGGAAGAATTGGTGTGATCACCAATAGAGAGAGGCATCCTGGCTCGTTTGATGTGGTTCATGTGAAAGATGCCAATGGCAATAGCTTTGCCACCCGGCTTTCCAACATTTTTGTTATTGGAAAAGTAAGTGCGGTTTTTCTTCTGTGGTTCAGGGGAAATGCTTGATAGCATGGCCCCAGCAATATAGCAGGTGTGCCAAAAGACAATGGAGTTGGTCTGTGCGGATTTTATTTTCCTTTTTTTCCTCCTTTAGGGCAATAAACCATGGATTTCTCTTCCCCGAGGGAAAGGTATCCGTCTCACCATTGCTGAAGAGAGAGATAAGAGACTGGCTGCCAAACAGAGCAGTGGGTGAAATGATCTGGGTGATGGAAATGGAGAGATCTCTAAAGGAATAAATACAGCATAATTAATTGGCTCCTGGTCTTACTTACAGTTCCCTGATGGTTTTGGACATAACTAGCTCTTTCTTTGTGTTATAGGTTAGCCTTGGAAAAGCTAGGAATAGGAACATGGAGATGAACTGGTGTGTGTGGGGGGTGTCATTAAGACACGTAACTCAGTGGAGAAGCTGAGTCCGAGGGTGTCAAATAAGTGGGATCATTTGCTCATCATCTTATTTTCTTTGTTTTTTATTGTACTCATCGCTCCCCACCACCACGATCTCGCCAAATACAGATTATAAATTTCTAGCAGTCGGCAATAGGCTCTTGATGGTATGAAACACTGCTTGGATTTGGATATGTTATCTTCCAGCTGTCCTTTGATCCTCAGAGGACTTGGTTGTAAGCCTTATAGAAAGAAATTCATCTTGCTCTGATTTCCTCTAATGTGTGCTGTGCTTGCCTGCAGGCCTCAGTGACAAGCCCTGTTGCTTGCTTGAGGTAATTTGTTAGGCATGTCCTGTACTGTATGTGATAATTTCACGCCTTCCTTGTCCTCTACCACCTAGGGTGCTAGTAGCTCTCCCACCTTTTCAAGAATGACTCCAGATATTGCCGAATGCCCACTAAGAATTATTGTACTGCCCTATAGGTAGCTGTTGTATCGTATTAACTTCATTTAACTTTTGTCAGCTTCTTAAATCAGACCACTGCCACTAGTTTAGGGAGAAGGTAATTCTATTTTGAACAATGATCATGCTTTGTGTCCAAAAACTACAATGTCAATTTGTTGCCATGGGGCGGGGCTTGTCCAGAGGTCACTGATGGCCAAATTTGACCCTTACAGAGTTTCTCCCCATCACAGACTCCCAAGGATGACTTCCTGGGCTGCAGACAAGTCATGCACCCGGGGTGTATGACCTTAAGCAAGAATTCATTTTTGCAGGAACTAGATTCAGCCATATTGGGAATAAGGGGGTGCTACACTGGTTTCACCAAGCACTTGGCTTCAACTATCCTTGAGTAGTTCTTATTCTGCCATCCAGGTACACAGTTCTGTGGAGGGCCCAGGTCAGACAATCTTGTGCTGCCCTTTGAGAAATAAGCAGGTGATACTGAAAGGGCAGGGCAGAGCAGGGTGCCTGAATACTGGTAGATTCTCATGTGCTGGCCACCATACTCCGTGCTTGGCCTTTTTCTAGGTTGGTTCCAAGTCTCAGCAGATGATGGAAATGATTTAAACAAAAATGAGGAGCCGTGCAGGCTTCTTTCCACAAATGCTCTAGTTTCTGAAGTAGATGCTAATGGACCAGCCAGCTCGCACAGTTGGAGGAATTGCTGTTTCGCTGCCTTCACTCTTCAGCGGAATGCCTAACATTTAAAATATGCTTTGACTTGTCATGTTTTTCTATTAACTAGTCCTAAGGTGGAGGATATTCCATCCAATACCAGTTGCATTAGTATATTTAGCCAAAGGAGTCTATAGCATCAGAATGAGCTACACGTTTGCTAATCAAATGGCTGGTATTGCTATAATTGTTTTAAGGCCTACAATTGGATTCATAAAATACCAGTTTTTCAGGCCCCAAACTGAATATCTCCTTGATTTCTTTCCTTACATTCCACATAAAATTTTATAGGGTTATTGGTTCTACTGTGGAAATAATCCTATATATATTTGGCACAGTGGTTCAGCACTGGGCTGCCAACCAGAAGGTTGGTAGTTCAAGCCAACCAACTACTCCTTGGGAGAAAGGTGGCATTTTGAATCAGAATTTGACTTGACAGCAAGAGGGTTGGGTTTTACAGGGAATCCTGGGTGGGTGATCCCTTCAGGACCAGTGGTGAGGGTGG